TGCTTAATAGCATGTTATTTATTCTCCATGTATTTGTGTTCTTTACAGATTTTTTCTTGTGTTTGATTTCTAGTTTTATAGCAATGTGGTCTGAAAAAATGCATAGTATGACTTCAGTCTTTTTGAATTTGCTGAAATCGTTGCAGCCTAACCTTGTGATCTGTTCTGGACAGTAATCTATGTGCACTTGAATCAAGTGTATTCTGCTATTTTAGGATGGAATGTTCTGAATAGATCTGGTCCAGATCCATCGGTTAGATCCATCTGGTCCAGTGTGTCATTCAAAGCCACTATTTCCTTGTTGAATTTCTGTGTGGATGATCTACCCATTGATGTGAGGTGTTAAAGTACCCTACTATTATTGTATCACTATTGATTATTTCCTTTATGTTTGTTATTAGCTGCTTTATGTATTTGGAGGCTGCCATGTTGGGTGTGTAAATATTTAATTATTATACCTTCTTTTTGAATTGTTCCCTTTATAATTACATAGTGTCCTTTTTCCGTTATTACAACCTTCTGTTAAAGCTCATTTTGTCCAGCATAAGTATTGCTACCCTGGCTTTCTTTTCACATCCATTTGCATGATAAGTGCTTTTCTATCCCTGCACTTTCAGTCTGCATGTGCCTCTAGGTCTGAAATAGGCAGACATATAAATGGGCCTTGCTTTTTTTTATCCATTCCATCACGTCTTTTGATTTGAGCATTTTGTCCATTTACATTCAGAGTAATTGTCGATAGGTATGTACTTATTGTCATTTTATTACTTGTTTTATGGCTGTTTTTGTAGTTCTTCTCTGTTCCTTTGTTCTCTTGCTCTTTTCTCTCATGGTTTTCTGGCATTCTTAGTGATACACTTGGATTCCTTTCTCTTTATTTTTTACATATTTAGTATCAGTTTTTGATTTGTGGTTACCATTATGTTTATATATAACATCTTCTGTATATCAGTGTGTGTTTAGTTGATGGTCACTTAAGTTTGAACCCATTCTAAAAGCACTATGTTTTTACTCTTTTCCCAGCCCTGTTTTATGTATATGGTTCCCTACTTTACATCCTTTTATTCTGTGAGGCCCTTGACTGATTTATATAGGTATATTTAATTTTAGTGCCTTTTTGTTTCCTACTTTTCTTTCTCTTGCCTATGGACTTGCCTTTCCACTCAGAGTCCCCTTTAACATTTCTTATAGGGCTGGTTTAGGGTGAGGAATTCCTTTAATTTTTATTTGGGAAATTCTCTCTGCTTGTATTATGAGTGATTGCTATGTTGGATAGAGTATTTTTGGCTGCAGGGTTTTTTTCTTTCAGCACTTTGAATATATCATGCCACTCCTTTCTAGCCTACAAGTTTCTGCTGAGGAATCCACTGACAGTCTTACAGGATTTCCCTTGTATGTAACTCTTTTCTCTTGCTGCTTTTAAAATTCTCTTTTTTGTTTGTTTTTTGTTTTTCCATTTCAATTACTATGTGTCTTGGTGTGGGCTTCTTTGGGTTAATTTTTGGGGGAATCTTTGTGCCTCCTGGGTATAGATTTCTGTTTCCTTCTCCAGATTTGGGGAGTTTCCAGCTATTATCTCTTCAAATGAACTTTCAGTTCCTTTTCCCTCTCTCCTCCTCTGGGATTTCTATAATGTAAATGTTATTATGCTTGATGGTGTTGCTGAGTTCCATTAATCTATTTTCATTTTTCATTATTTTTTGTCCCTCTCTTTCCAGTCAGCTTGATTCCTTTCTGTTACCCTCTCCTGCAGGTCCGTGATCTGTTCTTCCGCTTCCTCTACTCTGCTATTTATTGCATCTAGTTTATTTTTTATTTGTTACTGAGTTCTTCGTCTCTCATTGGTTCTTTTTTTATGTTTTTTGTCTCTTTTTTGAAGGTATCACTGAGTTCCTCTACTCTTCTCAAGTCTAGTTGAGTATATCTTTATGACCATTACTTTAAATTCTCTATCAAGTGTATTACTTATCTCCATTTCATTTAGCTCTCACTGTGATTTTTCCTCTGTCTCATTTTGTCTAACTCTCTGTGTCTTTTTCTGTGTTTTAGTAAAGTCCACTATATCTCTTGCTCTTGAAAGTAGTGGCTTTAGGGGCACCTGAGTGGCTCAGTCAGTTAAGCACCCAACTCTTGATTTCAGCTCAGGTTGTGATCTCAGGATTGTGGGACTGAGCCCCACATAGGGCTCTGTGCTCACCAGGGAGTCTGCTGGGGCTTCTCTCTCTCCCTCCCCTTTGCCCCTCCCCCCAACACTCTCTGTTTCTCTTAAAGTAAATAAATAAATCTTTAAAAAAAGAAAAGAAAAAAAGGAAGTAGTGACCTTATGAAGAGGAGGTCATGTAGTGCCTTGCAGTGCAATGTCCCCAGTTCACAGAACCTGGAGCTTCAGGGGTGTCTCCTGTGTGTGTTGCACGTTCAGTACTGTGTGGCTAAGCTGCATTTACCTTTAGTTCTGTCATATATGATGACTCTCTTTGTCTTTTGTGTGCAGAGTTTGATCACTGTGTTGAAAATGGGCCATTCTGGGGCCATGCTGGGTTTGAGCTCAGTCAAACCAGGCATTTACCAGAGATGCAGTAGCATCAAATTGCAAGGTGCTTTCCCTGTGTTAGCCCCTGAGTTTTTGTTGGTGGGTGGAACCTGTAGTCAGACTTGATGTCTGCTCCCAGCCCACTTCTGGAGCCACAGTTGGAGTGTAGGATTATCTTACCCTCTACTTTGGAGTGGTGCTCACCCCTGTCAGGGCTGCTTGCACACTGCCAGTCTTGTCGTACCACTTTGTATGGGATCCTGCCAAGGACATACTGGAGGAAGGAAGTCTGCTGTAGAATGTAGGGGTGGGGCATGTGGTGCCAGGATGGTCTTCACCAGTCTACTAAAGGAGAGGACCTGCAGCCACCTGGGAAAACTTGTCAAGACTGGCGAGGGTGGGGATGCAGATCTGCAGAAGCCCACCAGGGCAGGGTGCACTGTAAGTAAGCTAGGTGGAACATATTGGTACTGTGCTGTTTCCTGCAGGTATCCTATATTTAGGCTGGGGGTGGGGGTTGGACAAGGGAGTGAAATGGTGCCGAGCAGCATTTTGTTCTTGGAGAAGTCTCCCAAAGATCCCTGCCTCTCCAGCACATGCTCTGAGATTAGTAAATAAATCCCATATGCCTCGGGCAGTTTTCAAACTGCTGCTTCTATGCTGTATTTCAGTGGGGCTGTTTGTAGTCAAAAAGATTAAGGGCAGGAAGTCAGTTTCCTGTTGTTCTCCCTGCTCTCCCAGAACCAAGCCCACTGATTTTTAAAGTTCTAGGTGTAATACCCCATTGACTGTGAGAGCTCATGAAGTTAGGCCCTTCTGGTTTTCAAAGCCAAATGTTATGAGGATTTGTCTTCCCAGTGTGTCCCCCGTGCCTCGGATGCCTGGTGTGCCTGATGTGGGGGTCTGCTTCTTTCTCCTCTCCACATCTGCAGTGTCCCTCCTTCCTGGGGACAGTCCTGTGGGTCCATTTGGGTCCTGACAGCATCTCCACTTTTCCTGCCCTCTTTGACGTGGCTTCTCTGCATTTACCTGTAGAGAGTCTGGTCTGTCAGTCTTTGGGTCATTTTCTGGGTTATTTACACTGATGTGGGTATTATCTAGTGGTATTTATGGGATGAGGTGAGCTAATGATCCTCCTACTCTGCCATCTTCCCTGGAAGTCTCTGCAGCCAGTAAATATTCTGAACTTTTAAAAACTTAAACAATTTGAAATTATATTTTTTCAATTGCACTTATTTGAATATTAATAAAGTGAAATATCTTTCATGAGTATAGGTCATTTATATTTCTTCATTGTAAACTGGTTGTTTATGTTCTTTTTCCATTTCTTAAAAGGTTTATTTCTTTATTCTAGAGAGAGAGAGGGAGAGGGAAAGAGAGATCTCAAGCAGATTCCCTAATGAGCAGGGAGCCCAATGTAGGGCTCACTCTCATGACCCTGAGATCATGACCTGAGCCAAAATCAAGAGTCAGACACTTAACTGACTGAGCCACCCAGGTGCCCCATCTTTTTCCATTTTTATTGCAATAATATTCCAGCAATCTTTTGCACACCAAAAACAGTTCAAAATCCTTTTTAGTGGCTATACCTACTTTAGTATTATTTTACACTGCTTTCTCCCACACATCCAATCTAAGTAAGACTCCTTCCATATTCAAAGATATACCATTGCCTAACACAACTTTTTTCAATCTTCTGTATATATATATATGCACCAGATACTAATTCTGTCGCTTTTTCTCTATTTTCCCTCCTAGCATAACTCTTATTTGTCCTTCAAGACTCAGAGCAAGGATCAGTTCCTTCTCTTTAGCTCCACAGCAAATATTTGTGCAAATATCTGTTATAAAACCTATCACACATTATGTAATTAACTGTTCACAATGATCTGTCTCCCCACTGGGCTCACAGCTTCTTGAGACATGGAATTGTAATTGATCTCTATATTCCAGAACAATGCCTAACACTTAGTAGGCACTGATTATTTGCTGACTGTATAAGTTCAAGATAATAGTAATATTAATAATGTTAACAAAGTAGTATGTGCCAGACACATAAATGTCAGAGACAAATTTGTGTAGTTGTATTTCTTGTAAAATGCTTATCATAATATTATATACAATTGAATTTTGAAGAAGTCATCTCAGATATTAAAATCTCCCCAAAGAACATAGCAATAAATGTTTTTATTTCCTGACAAAACTGAGTATGTCGAACATTTGGTTTAAAAACTTGTCTTTTTCCCTGAAGAATTAAAATAACTTATTTAAATAATGCTATTAGGTAATAGTTATAATGTACAATTCAAGAAAATTTGCTTATACTAGAAAAGAAAACTGAATTAAAACAAAAAATATTCATCAGCCATGTCTGTTTTGTAATCTGAATAGTAAGCTCTTTTGCTCAAAATATTTGTAACTTGACCAAGATTCATTTGGATTAATCTTTTATTTTGTTTTTTTTCCAAAGGACATCCATTACTTTGCACTAGATAAGGGTGAACTGGCACTAGCTGAAGTGGCAAGAAAAAGAGCTAGTGACATTGATGCAGAATCAATAACCTCTGGAGTTGGTAAGAATTAATGCTGGTTTTTTTAAGTGCTTTTTGTTTCAGTCAATACTTACTCAGTATCATGTATATTTATGTTTGTAAGGCCCGGTTGGTTAATTTGAATTACTTTCTTTGTAAAGAAAGTGACTTTTAAAAAAGAATTAAGCCTGGGTAAATAGTACAATATGGATATATATAAGTGGGAACAGTGTTGATATAAAAATTAATAATCACTGATTAATCACCATTTAGCAAAGTCAAAAAGACACTGTTTTCATAAGATTTTATCATAAGTGCTGTTATTAATATTAGCCAACACAGAAACTTATATAATTATTTATACACATAGACATGTCATATCTTAAAAGAATTCTGTCCTATATCAAAGTATTTCACATGGGCTTTTAGGTTTGATGGATGACTTGTTTTCTTTTAGAAGCCACTAGTTGTTTTACAGTGTAGTCTTCCAAAGAAGACCAATCAGAAACTTATTTAATCTAAAGGTCCATACAAAACTTTACAATATATAAAAATGATAGTTTTAAAAACTATTATAATATCAACATGAGCTTCCTTTTCCCTAAACTTAGTCTAATGTGACTAAATCTGGAATTATTGATCTCTGGACATCCCAATTCCTATTCTTCCTGGTATTTACTATTCCTAGATTAGGCAAAGGGCCCTCAGAATTGCAAAAGAATTCATTTCTTTGTGGAACTCCTGAGAAAGGAAGTTTTAATAGATTTCTACTTTGTAAGTTTGCTTCAAATTATTATAACAAGCCTCTCCAGTGATTGATCATCTTTGTTTTTATAATGCTGTTTGCAGCCAGAAGGAGCAATTGCCAGCTTCTCTTTAAGGATGGAGGTTTTGCATTTTAAAGCTATTTAAAGTTACTAAGTTTCGTGAAAAGGAATGTGAAGAAATTATCACAAAATTTCAGAAAAAGGAAGAAACTCCACTATTCGCCAGTATGCTTTCTGTGCCCTGTGAATGCTTTGATTAGATTCCTGTAGCCAGCTGGTACTTCCTACCCAGAGTCTTTTTGAGCCCTGCCTCATTTCTAGCAAATATCTTTCTTCACTGAAACCCTGTACCTCCCTGCTTTTCAGCCTTTTTTTTTCAGGGCTTTACCCTCTGACCTTGATTACTCCCTTGACAAAGATACCATTCAGTAACAACAGTAACTATCAAGAGGTGAACATTCAGATGAATGTTCTACTCCACTTTTATTCTAGAAAACTGGGGTGACTCCCACTCAAAATTAGAAAAGGAATTAGGAAAGAATCTCTAGTTTTTTAATGGTAGTTTCTGTCTAGTTCTTCCATATAGCCCACATCATGCTGGGGAAAGCTAATTTTCTCTCAAGTTCCTTCAATTTAGTTCAACTCTGCTCTCTCAAACATTTCTGAAAGCAGAAAATAATTAAGTTTTTGGCTTTCAAAAGTGTTGCTTGATGCAAGCAAGAAGGTAAATTATGTAACATAACAAGAGCATTCAAGTTGAAGTATTTCAAGGGCGCCTGGGTGGCTCCGTCGGTTAAGCATCTGCCTTCGGCTCAGGTCATGATCCCAGGGTCCTGGGATCGAGTCCCGCATCGGGCTCCCTGCTCCGTGGAAAGTCTGCTTCTCCCTCTCCCTCTGCCTGCCACTCCCCCTGCTGTGCTCTCTCTCTCTCCGTCAAAGAAAGAAATAAGATCTTTTAAAAAAAAATAAGTAAGTTGAAGTATTTCAGTCTACATGGAAGAGTCTGTAAAAATTATCACATGTGGTAGCCATCAACATAACTAAAAGCAAGAGTTGCCGAAGGATAAGTTCAATGATAATAATCTGAACAGTTTGAAAGTTTTTTATTTAAATTTTTTATTAAAGTATAACATACATACAGAAAAGCACACAAATCATAAATGTAACTCAGTGGATTTTCACAAAGTAAACACATTCTTGTAACCATCATCCAGACCAAGTAACATACATTACCAAGACCACACAAGCCCTCTCATATCCACTTTAAGATACTACATCCCAGCCGCACTATCTTGACTTATAATAATATAGATTAGCTTTACCTTTCTTTCAAATTTTAAATAAGTGGAATCTATATTATTCTTTTGTTTTTGGCTCCTTTCACTTAACTTTATGAGATTCTTTTATATTGTATATAAGTAATTCTTTCCTTTTTATTATATAACAGTATTCCAATAGATGAATATATACAATTTTATTTATTCTATGCCAGATATTTGAATTCTTTCAAGTCTGGGGCTTATTGTGAATAGTGTTGCTATGAATATACTTGTGTTTGTCTTTTAACAGATGTATACACAGATCTTCTGGGTATGTGCTTAAAAGTGGATTTGCTGGGACATAGGATATATTCATATGAGAGGAAAAAAGTTTTTCTCTGTCCTTCAAGGTTTTTCCACCCGAACTAAAAACCAGATTTACACAAGACTGATTAATAGAGAATGTTGGCTAATTGTATTTAAATTAAAAAAAAAAAAAAACAAGAAAAAAAAAGACTGATTAATAGAAAATGAAACAAGGTTTAATAATATATATACCTCCTGTATACATGGGAGAGACCCAAGAAAACTGAGTATCTCACCAAAATAGCTGAAGCCATCACCTTAAATACCATCTCCATCTAAAGACAAGAGAAGATGTAGGTAGAGGATCATTTATGGGAGGTTACCATAAAAAGCATAGTAAAAAAGGCTAAAGTTGTCATGCAGATTTAAGTTCATGCCTTCTCCACTGATAACAGTCTCTAGGCATCTAAGAGTCATCCCCCTCTTCCTGATACTGAGGGAGACACCCTTACAAATGGAGATTTCCCTTATACATGGAAATGTCTCTTAAGGGAGGGAAACTGCGATTTCAGAGATATTCTTGTGTCTACAGTTTCTTAAAAAATACCAGCTTAGAATAATCAATATGCCAAAGAGGCATATCTTTTTTAATCAAATTTATATATTCTTAAGTTTTTATTTAAATTCCAGTTAACATATAGTGGTGTAATATTAGATTTCATTCTTTTTTAAGGCTGAGTAATATTCCATTGTATATATATATATACCACTTTTTCTTTATCCATTCATCAGTCGATGGACATTTGGGCTCTTTCCATAATTTGGCAGTTGTTGATAAAGCCACTAGAAACATCGGGGCGAACGTACCCCTTCAAAGAAGTATTTTTGTATTCTTTGGGTAAATATCTAGTAGTGTGATTGCTGGGTCATAGGGTAGTTCTATTTTCAATTTTTTAAGGAACCTCCATCCTGTTTTCCAGAGCGGCTATACCAGTTTGCATTCCTACCAACCCACCAGTGCAAGATGGTTCCCCTTTCTCCATATCCCAAAGACGCATAGCTTATGGTAGAAAAATCTGCTCCCCTACAGTAGCTATTTCCAGTTTTCCTAGGGAGTTGTAATGACTTATCTTCTCACCAGCAGTCCATAACAGTAGAGCTTGCCCCATCCTCAATGCATGATATTATCTGTCTTTGCATTTTAGCCATTCTGGTGGGGAAGACATTAATATTTTGTAAATGTGATAGTGTATATATAGAATGTTCCTGGGCTCTTTATTTCACTGGTCTCTTTGTACTTGCACAAATATCTCAGTGGGTTTTTAATTGAAGTATAGTTGACACACAGTGTTACATTCCACAAGTCTGTATCTTACGTTATGCTCACCACAAGCGTAGCTATCATCTGTCACCATACAACGCTATTACAATACCATTGACTAGATTCCCTGTACCTTTCATCCCATGATTTCTTTTTTTTTATTATGTTATGTTAATCACGATACATTACATCGTGTTCCATGATTCATTGTTTGCGTATAACACCCAGTGCTCCATGCAGAACGTGCCCTCTTTAATACCCACCACCAAGCTAACCCATCCTCCCACCCCCCTCCTCTCTAGAACACTCAGTTTGTTTTTCAGAGTCCATCGTCTCTCATGGTTTGTCTCCCCCTCCGATTTCCCCCCTTCATTCTTCCCCTCCTGAAGACCTGTACTGTACCTCTGAAACAAATAATACATTATATGTTAAAAATATATATATATATCATCCCATGACTTTTTTTTTATTCTTATGTTAATCCCCATACATTACATCATTAGTTTTAGATGAAGTGTTCCATGATTCATTGTTTGTGCATAACACCCAGTGCTCCATGCAGAATGTGCCCTCCTTAATACCCACCACCAGGCTAACCCATCCTCCCACCCCCCTCCCCTCTAGAACCCTGTTTGTTTTTCAGAGTCCATCGTCTCTCATGGTTCGTCTCCATGACTTCTTCATTCTGTAACTGGAAGCCTTTATCTTCCACTCTCCCTTCACTCATTTGCCCATCCCCCACCCACATCCCACCCTCAGTTTTTCTCTATTATTATGGGTCTGTTTCTGCTTTTGGGGTTTTTTTAGATCCCATGTATTTATCTATGTCTGACTTATTTCACTTAGCATATCCTCTAGGTTCATCCACGCTGTCTTAATGGCAAGATCTTACTCTTTTTTATGGTTGAGGGTGTGTGTGTATATGTGTATATGTATATACACATATATCCATTCATCTGCTGATGGACACTTGGGTTGTTTCCAGATCTTGGCTATTATAAATAATAGTGCAATACACAGGGTACATCTATCTTTTCAGGTTAGTGTTTTCATTTTCTTTGGGTAAATACCCAGTAGTGGAATTACTGGATCATATAGTATTTTTATTTTTAATTTTCTGAGAAGCATCCATATGGTTTTCTACAGTGGTTCTACCAACTTACAGTCCCACCAAGAGTGCCTGAAGGCTCCTTTATTTCCACATCCTCAACAACACTTATTTCTTGTCATTTTGATTAGAGCCATTCTGAAAGGTATAAAGTGATATCTCATGGTGGTTTGATTTGCATATTTCTGCTGATTAGTAATGTTGAGGTCTGTTTCATGTACCTATTGGCCATCTGTTTGTCTTCTTTGGAAAAATGTATATTCAGGTAGGTACTCCATTTT